TTAAAATAGTAGATAAAATAAAATAAAAAATTTATTTTAAAAAAAAAAATATATATATATATATATATATATATATATATATATATATATATATATATACATATATATAATTGATCTTTAACTGCATTGTAAACCAGTCCACTGGGTCAATCAGGAAAAAAAGTCCGCAAGAAATACATTTCTGATTTTCTGAAAGTGAAAGTTGGTGAAAGTTTAGCTAGAGAGCAGTGATAAGAGCAAAATACAGGAAACAACCTGGGATGCAACAATTAAATAGATTAAACTATTTCAGAAGAATTGCTCCAGATTGTATTTTCATGAGGAAAACCTACTAATTGCCACAATTTAACCAGTCTTCAATTCTTCAATTATTTTAGAAAATTCTGACAAAATGTTGCAAATGTGTTTTATTGTTTATTTTATTTGTAAGGAATGTGTGGAATGCTTTGACATTTTGGTTCCTGGAAAAGGTTTTAGTGTTTAATGTTTTGGAGGCATCTGCAAAATTCATTTAGATTCATTTCACTGATGTTAGGTTTTAGCTGCGCATCAAAATCCCTGTTTTAGACGCTAAACCATTTTAAAAAACTGCAATTCATCAGGCTGACAACATAACAAAATGTTTTATTTTTAAATACCAAAAAAATCAGAAAAAGCTGAATGTCTAAAAAAAAAAAAGAAAAAGAAAAAATAGGGCTTATTTCTGCCATGCAAAGTTTTGCCAGGAGTTTTTCATTTTCTCACAGCATAACTAGACTTAAAGTGCATCCTTTCCAGTAATCCAAGACAATTTGACTGAAAACAAAACAAAAGAAACAAAAAAAAAATAAATAAATTGCGTGAATTGTATATTTTTTGAAAACTGGCATTAAAAATCTGGGCAGATTTTTATGATCTAAAATTTATTGCATCTTTCGAATATTTAAATCCATCCCAAAAGTTGTCATATTTAGTTAATTAACTTATCAATATTCTTAAAATATTTTTTTTTCTCTAAAACTTGTAGCCTGTAGCCAGTTTTCTGTAGACGATTATCTTCTTTGTCATAAATTACAAATCAACATTCATAATTTCACCGTTTCAGGAAGATTAAAAACTGAATAAAATGGATCCAATGACATCTGTTGACAGGATGTTGAATTATCCAAGGGACACATTAGATCATGATGAACCCGCCGAGACGTGCTTAATTTTATAACAATGGTGTTTTTCGGCCCGGACTGTTTCTGAATTGCACGGCAAACGTATCCCGAAGTGGCACCGGTCCCATTCGAGTTTTCCGAACAACCGAACGTCCTCCGGTTTGGGAAAACGTCAGGCATACGTTCTCCAAGTGCAAAAGAAAAAGAAAAAAAGAAGAAGAAACCCCACAAACACGTCCCCGCTGCACAGTGACCGCAGAAGTCGAAGGAACGGCCTCTGCGCGGGCTTGCCGGTGTGGTCTGTGTGAAGCCATTCCTAAGCTAACTTGACTAAAATACTGTAAAAAGGCAGTAAATTCCAGCCGGGCTAAAACTAACCGACATGTTTCCCCTCATGAATAAAATGCGCACAATCATCATCGAGTGGAAAATATTTGACTCTTATTTGATCACCACAGAGATGCTCTTGGTAAATTTGGCCCAGTAATGGGATCCATGCCTCCTTCCCTCACTGTACCGACCCCCGCCTCCCTACGCCCTCCCCCCTCCACCCCCACTTTGTGTTCTCAGGCCTGCAGCACTTGTCATCTCCCCAGTGGCAGCTTAGATCCTCCAATTTTAGGTTAATTAATCAAAAATGATTTCTTTTCTCATTAGCCATGCAGTTGGTTTGCAATCTGCGAAATCGATGTTTTACAGATGTTTCCCTGGGTTTTGTTTTTCAAGCCGGTGCTGATTTTTATTGGATATAGATTTAAGAGGGTGCTGAGGGATTGAAAGTTAACTCAGCCACACAAAATCACACACATATGCAGCCACAGCCACAACAAGTGCTCATTATTAATAGTCGCATGCTCACAGCAACACGAGCTTCAATAAAGTAGATAAAAAAAAAATTAAAAATAAAAACACGGAAAGAAATCTCACGTTTTGGCTCTGCTGCTCAATAACTCATCAATAACTTTTCTTCCCAACATTAATTTTTCACCTTACGGATCACGGCGCTGTCTCGCTCTGGCTCGGGGTTCTCCTGAAACCCGTTTGGTCGTTGCCAAACCCACGGAGGTTGGAGCCCCACACACACATACACGCACACGCACACACACACACACACGCTTACACTCTCTCTGGGTAGCGCTCTTTAATCACGTAACGGCTTCTTGTTCTAGTTCCTGCTGGTTGTAAACAAATGTAATGTTGCATTTCCTGTCGTCTAGACATAACAACAAACCTGGCACGGGGCAAACAGTGGAGCGACTTGTGGTTGTTAAGGAGTGGCTGGCACGAGTCGCCCAACCGGGGCATGTGAGGTGTAAACGAAGAAGCAACGGAGACGGGAACAGCGGAGGTGTCGGGGCGTCGCACGGCGAGCCTCTCTGATGTTCTGGATCACTGGGTGAGGTCAGATTTCTACCGCCGAGGTATTTTTTTATGTTTTAATTTAAAATTCCGACTGAGTTTCTACTCTTCTCTTTATCTTTATCTCCAGTTTGTAGAACCGATTTGCACTGATTCACAGCCACAGTGTTACGGATGGGAGGAGTATTAATATTTATACCGCTTGGGCTTTTCTTCAATGTTTCTTTTTTTTTAATGCAAAAAAATGTGAGCCATGAATTTAGTGTAACTTTAAAAAAAAAAAAAAACATCTAAATAACTAAAGTTTCAAGTTGAGTCAAGTAACAAGAGCTTTACATCATAAAAACATAATGCAGTAGCCAATTATGGAATAAAGAGATAAACATTGAATTTTGTCAAATGCCATCATCATAATCATCAAGCTAATACACATCAGACATATTGATTAATGATCCAGTTATTATGTATCAAAATCAATTCTAAACAGGTGGGCATACAGCCTTGATTTAAAGGAGCTCAGTGTTTCGGCGGTTTTGCAGTTTTCTGGAAGTTTGTTCCAGACCTGAGTTTCAAAGAAGCTGCTTCTCCATGTTTGGTTTTAAAACCAGGAGATGTGATTGGTCTAGAAAGTTGATGCAACAACAGCAGTTCTTTAATGCATTTTGGTGCTAAGCCATTCAGCGACTTATAAACAAGCAAAAGTATTTTAAAGACTATTCTCTGAGCAACAGGGAGGCAGTGTAAGGAGTCAAATTAATGCAGAGTAATCAATTACCTTCATAAAAGTTTTAATAGATTTTCTTAATACAAGTAAGAATCTGTCTGTCTTGTAAGTGCTTGTTAGAGAACACTAGAGATGTAGATGAACAAAATGACAGAGAAGGTTGTGGAGAAATTTAAAGCAGAGTTACGTTACGAAACAATGCTACATGCTTTGTTCAAAGCCATCATCTTAAAATTATAGATTTAAATAAACATAACCTAGGCGATGTTAAACAAATAAGGCAAAGAGGTCAATAAGAGAAGGAGCCAAGAGCCTCATGACGACTATCAGCGACACACTCCATAACCTGGCCTCAATGAAAACAGGCAACACTAAAAGAAAGCTGTAAAAATCCCATTTGGTGACAAACATGTGGAGGAGGGTGCAATGGTACATCAAAAATGCTTAAAAAAATAAAAATAAAAAAATACCCTGAACAATCCATACGCATGGTGAAACATGGTGGTGGCATCGTCATGCTGTGGGAATGATTTTTTATTTATTTTTTTTCTGCAGGGCCAACGGGGTAAGTTCCATGAGAACAGGCCTAAAACCTACAAAGAGTTACAACAAAGTGATTAGATCAAAGCTAATTCGAATGTTAGGATGGCCCAGTCAAAGTCCAGGGCTAAACTCAGCTGAGAACCAATGAAGTTATCTGACATATAACATTTGCAAAAGGTTTCTATCCAATCTGATGGAGTTTGAAGCATTTTATAAAGAAAAAAGTGGACAAAAATTTAGGCCTGTTGACGTGCAAAGCTGGTTGTGACATAACTCCAGAGATATTTAGCTTTAATGCTGATGAAAGAGAGTTCTATCTTTAAAAAAAATGCTCTACTTTGTTGCTCTTTCAAAAAAAAAAAAAAAAAAAAAAAAAAAAAAAAAAAACCCTGTGAAACATGTAGAAGTTTGTGGCTGGAATATGAGAACAATGTGTAAAGGTTTACGGGGTATGAAGACTATAGATTTTTAATCGCTCCTTCAATTAAATGTTTCCAAGTGTTAAAAATGTTTCTTCTCTCAAAATTTCTGGACCCACCAACATGCCCACTGTGCCATCTGGGACGCAGTTGTTCTGTCTTTTCGCAGCATATGGCAGCTCGTGTGTGTTTGCGTGTGTGTTTGCGTGTGTGTGTGTGTGTGTGTGTGCATGTGAACGTTCCTTGCGCTGCATTTCTACTTGTGTGCGCTGCTCCCCGCCCACCGTTCCACTCAACTACACAGGAAAAAGAAGATGAAGCAGAGGAGCAAAGGAGCCCAAACAGAAATTATTATTGATTTAATCACATAATCAGCTCCAAACACTTCAGGCCAAGATAACAAATCCATAATAGCCTCCACACATAACCACCCTTACAAATTTACCATCAAAGCCCTCCGCACGCAAACTGCAAACACAGGAACCGGGGGTCACCTTCAGTCGCCGGCAAAATATTGACTCTCCTAATGCTTGTATATGTTTTTGATTTGGGCGTTATCAATCACTGATAAGGGCCTCGCGTCTCTAAAACATAACTCCTGTGGCGGCGGAGGATTACGGCGTCACTTTTCTTGTCATAATCTGAGAATATCTGTTCAGAAAAGACAAGATGTGAGGAAAAAGAAAAAAAAAAATCAATGCAGCTCGACGGCGGACATTTCCCACTGCGGACGGTCTAGTGGTGTGTTGACATGACGTACAGGAGCTTCACTCATCAGATGAAAGATCAGGTTTTGTGAAGAGATTTAATGGGGAGGTAGAAGGGATTTTTGATATTTGTTGGTTTAAGAACTTCCTGTCTTCCACTTTACACAAAGTGTTGGGTTGCCATTGTGTCTTTAACAATGAAAAATAACATCTGATTTCATTCAAACGCAACAAAAATCCCAATTCTGTTTGAATTAATGAATGTGGACCTAAAACTAAGCCAAGCAACAAAAGCCTTTGTTTCAGTTTTTTTGTTTATTGTTTGATTTTTTTTTTTTTTGTTACTTTCTACCAAAACATAATTAAATAAATGAATTATTAGAAACACAAAAAAACACAGTTGGAGTGACATTAATTAAATGAATGATAGCTTCATGAAACAAAAGTCCTGTTTTTTGTCCCTAATTTGTTGTCAAAAGTAAAACTTGAAAAAAGACTTTTTTTTTTCTTTTTACCTTGAATGCAGCTTTAGAAATCCCAAAAACTGCAGAACCAAAATATTTCACAATGTCTACGTCTGGCCGTTTTCCACTGTTTAAATAAAGTAATCCTACAGTAGCTTCAGGTTAATTTGCCCCACTTCGTTCCCCCCTTCAGTGCCCATGTGTCGCCATTTCCTTCCTTCGTTCCTTCGTTCCCTACCATACTGTTCCCCTATTATTCCATGTCAGTTCATTTGATAGTTAAGGAATTTGGGTAAATACTAGAGAGAAGTAACCAGTTCTCATTCATAAATTAATTTTATTATGAAGCCGCCCTATATTTGTTGATTGTAGATTTGATCGCTTTTAACTCTTACGAAACAGCCTGTGATCGCCAGAATGTGACTTGTTAGTGTTACAGAATCGATCATTTTGAGTTGCTGCTAGATGTCTTATAAAGTCGACTATTAATAAATTAAGCGTTAAAGAAAGTTTCCCATATTTTAATCATTCACATTGCATATTGAGTAACTGGTTCAACAAACGAGCGGTATTGTCTTTACGCACAAAGGAAAAACAAAAATTCCCATTCTGCGATTTGCGTTAACTGTGGTTTTTGAGGTTGTTCATTAAGGCGCTTGCCCAGAGCGGCACAGGGGTATCGGGAGGCACAAGCACCAGATAAAATATCGTCAGACGAATCTCTTAAGTTTTCTGGAAGGCTGTCTCATTTTGTGTGGAGATTAACTGCATGTGACCTCCGCCGCATAACTTCCTGCGTATTCATTGGTTGTTGGTGCGGCAGAAGGAGGCGTTCGCCCAGCGCGCCATTCATTCAAGTACCACCACTGTCTCCAGGAGAATTCAATTATAAAACTATAATTCATAACTACTGTATGTGCCGATGTCCTTGTTTCTACATTTTTAAGGACAATAGAAAAAAAAAAACATTCTGTAAATGATAAACTAACAATAAGAAATAGTCAATACTTGCCTTAAATATTTGCTATAGTGTTTTGCTCCCCGTTTAGCCCCTGATCCCCTTCTTTGTTGACATCCAACAATAAATCTGCTTTAGATCTTGACGCTCTCTCAACATTCATATCTTAAAGCATCTATCCATTCGCTTGCCTATCCTTGTCCATCCAGCCTGCGGCTATGGAAGCCTAATTGTTTACCAAAGGGTTGCGGCTCATTTGCTCCTGGAGATTGGGCCTAATTAACACTAACTTGTCTGAACACCGAGAAGCGCTGTCCACTCCACTTTAATCTAATCTGTACTCTTTCAAAAAATAATGAGATCATTTACACCTCATTAACGAACAATGTAATGTCCGCGCATTAATCATAATGATTGCTTATCATTTCACTTTGCAATATTATCTCCTCTAATGAAACTGTTCACACAACTGCCAAGAGGGCCTTAATTGGTCGTGTGAAATCACAGAGCGCCCAGCAGCTTGCTGCAACGTGTGTGAAGTTCTAATTTGCATGAAAGGCGGAGGGAGGGGATACGGGAGGTGGGCACGAGAGGGGATGGTATCACTTTGGAATGCACATAACGGCGCATGAAAAGGCAGGTTTTTGATTTCTTGTAGAAGGAAAGTAATGTGGTTTTGGACAACAAAAAAAGAAATCGAAAAAGTCTCACAAGAATGTAAACGGTTCATCCTGCAGCAAGACAAAGACCTTGAACATCACTAGCCACAGCTGCAAATTAATGGTTTAGATCAAAGAATGTTCATGTGCTCGAATGACCCAATCAAAGTTCGGACCTAAATCCAATTAAGAATCTGTGACACAACTTGGGGAAAAAAGTGATTCTAACAGACATTTTGCATCAGGTCTGACTCAGCTTGAGCCATTTTGCAAAAAGGATGATAAAAAAATAAAAATTAGATAGATAGATAGATAGATAGATAGATAGATAGATAGATAGATAGATAGATAGATAGATAGATAGATAGATAGATAGATAGATATCAGTCTCTAATTGCAAAGCAAGAAGACACGTATCCCAAAACACTTAAAGCTGTAATTGCAGCAACATTTAATGACTCAGAAGGGATGGAAGCAAATGACCACCACCCATCCGGTTGTAACTTTACTGCAATCTAATTTTACTTAGTGACATACACATTAGTTTTATTAAGAGCAGCTTA